TGCCCCTCCAGCCCGCCGTGGAGGCCAAAGAGAGAGAAAAGGGGTGTGCAGATAGGGGGCTTACCATCCCTGGGCTGGGATCGAGAACTTTCCCATTTCTCTGTACTGAAAGCACTGGTTGGTGACCTTTGGTCGAAATAGTGCTGTGCTTCCTGAACCTTTTTTTAAATGTCTTTCCTTTCCTAGATAGACCAAAAAGCTTTTTCCCCACGAGGACAGTCAAGCATTATAACAGGCAACCCAGAGAGGGTGGGTGGGCTCCATCCATGGAGGTTTTCAAGACCTGACTGAACAAAGGAGCCAGGTTTTATAAGCAGACCCTGCTTGAGGCCCCTTCCAACCTGGATTACCCTAGGATCCTTTATAGCCTTTTTCTAGAAAGCTTTATGTTGGTCTAGTGTATTTTTGTAAACTTCTTTACCTCATTTCCACTACTGATGCAAAGCAGGGATTCATTTTTTGTCTGTAAGTGCAGAAGTGTGAATGCTTACTCTACTATGCATTAATCTACAAAACTGCTACCTATGGCTGCTCCAGCTTTCTTCACAAGCTACACTGCTGTCTTCTGGGTATATAACCTCCTCTTCCTGGTTAATTCAATCTAGGCATTTAGTAGTTTCATTTAATTCTCTTCAATCTACTAAGACCTGGCTACGCTTTGCTGTAATGAGAATGATGGTGATTATGGTAGTAGTCATACTGTTGCTCTCTTTAGCAAAAGATCTTGTGAAAAACACATGAGCAAGAGGTTGGTTTGCTCATTTTCAAAAAGTGAGATTTGAGTCTCAAAATACACATTTGAAACTCAACATTTCTGAATGAAATGAGGGATGAATCAGCCAGCTGATCCATTTCCTATAGAAGATACACATAGGAGTCTTATTAAATAATGAAACTTAAAACACCTCTTTACTGTGTAGATATAGGTCACTGCAAGTGTGCTAGCAAGCAGGATCACAGATAACTTCAGGTAGGCATTAGTATTAGGTATTGGTATTGCTGTTATGACACCTGGCAATAAGAGTGCTGCTGTCAGTGAGAACAATGTCTCATCTAAACTGGCTGGTTTTTTTTCTTAATCTTTCAATTGATTTACAATCCCCACAGCAATGTAAGTATGTAAAAAGTTACAGTGGGGTCCTGCATATTAGAACAGTAGTCCAGCATAAGTTTTAAGAGAACTCTCAAGTCTCATGGTACGTATCTGGAAGTGTGATACTGTCATCTATGGACTCTGAAGTACACCAACTATTAACTCTTAATCTCAGTTTCTACAGAACACCATGATATTAAAATCTATCCATCTTATTTTGCATGTTATATTTTGCTTCTTGCTTTACAGGGGCTCCTGAATACCACAGTCAAACATGGTTTAGCAAATAAAGTTTTCCTTCCTTTTATAGTACTCTGTGTTTCTGCATGGATGATCCTCACAACAGGAAAAACATTTTCTGTGATGTCACACAACATAAAGCTTTTTTTAAGTGAGCATAGCAATCATTTCCATATCAGATCTTGGAAGAACACAATTTACTATATCAGAATTTTTTAAAAGCTCTATAATAGATAAAATCACTACATTTTAAGTGACTGCATTACTCACAAGGCAATTTTGTTGAACAGCAGGATTACACATTGAAGCAAAAGTCAGTTAGTTATTTTTCCAGTTTGTACTTTGGAAGTATCATCTGACATCCCAACCAATTTTAACACTACTTTATTTTGCTGGCAGTTTCCAGCTGAGCTGAAGCATTAATGAAGAAAGCCCTCATCCTTCAGATATCTACTTGCTCTGGACCCTCTAAGTTCAATAGAACTACTCAATTCAGTCACAGGCAGTTGTGTCACTCCCCGGGGAGGAGAGGCTTTAATCTGCAGTCCCCATGAAACGGTCACTTTTTCACAAGATGGAAAGGTCAGCATGTGAAAAGTCTATGACTTACCTACACTTAGAGCGCTTTCAGGGCTATTGGGAAAAATCACTTGTTCTGTGATGGAGCTTGCTGGACAGCACTTCTCAAGTCACTGAGTTGATGAAGATAACATCATTAGCCTTGGGCTGATGACACAAGCAGCTTCATTAGGCAACCAGATTTTGCCTCAGAGATTTGAAATAATACTAAAAACTAAGTTACTAATAAACAATGTCTGTTAATAATATAAGCTTGCATATAGGAAATTATTTTTATGTCTTATTCTGTTAGTTTATGATGTAGTAACGTAATGAGTCCATCTTTTAGAAGCTGAAAAACATCAACTTAAAAGCAAAGGTACACTTTCTTGAGATAAAGCCTGATTTTACCACTGGAAAACATTTAACCTTACCTGGCAAGTAGAGGCTCTATCACTTAAGTTCTCTAAACAAACTGTGTATTTTATTTTTCTTAAAAATGGGCTGTAAAGAAGATCCTGTGGGTCTCGTATAGCTGTTCCTGCAACAGGCTTCTTGCTCTGTTACGTAGATTAGACTGCATGATCATAACAGTCTTTTGTCTCCTAAAAAAAACCCCAAAAATAATTTAATGCTCACGTACATGCTTTTGAAGCATCCTGTACTTTGGGAGAGGTGAAAGGAACAGTATAAATAAGAACTGTCAAATGCAAAACCAGTATTTTTCTTCTCATTTTAACTTTGAGCAGTTTTAAGCATGTTATCATCAGCAGCAATTTGTGTATTTCACAGACCAGCAGTTCTTTCACGCTCTGTGCTTCCAAAAGGTTGTTATGAAAACACCACCTAGGAAGTTAAAGATACACTTGATATCTTTGCCTGCCACTGCTCCTTTGGCCACTGCAGCGCAGATGGCAGCCCATGTGCTATTGGCGATACCCGTCAGTCAGTTTGAGCAAAGGTGGGGTACGGGGTTACCCACAACCACCCTGTGCTTGCTGTGTGGACCCCAGCACAGCCATGCACCTGTTCCACGGGGACCCTCTGTCTGCTGGGGGAGGCTGGCAACAACAGATCTGACCTGGAAATAAAGCGTTCAGTGCACAGGGCAGCTGTAGCACAGTAGGTGCTGGAAGAGGCAAGTGAAAGCCTGAAGACGTTACAGTGTACTTGCTTCCTCCCCCAAAATACCAGTGTGCTTATTCAGAACCCCATTAACAGACTCAGCTAGTGAAAAACACCTGTGTAAAGGTTTCAGTGCTTTTTTCCTGAAATATAACAAGAATGATTTCACAATGCAGTTAGGCGATGAACTGCTGCTGAAGGAGCACCCGGGGGGGGTCTCTGACACACAAAGGAACAAGTCACGCTCCAAACAATGCTTGAGAAGTTAAGCAAATACATTCAGAAGAGTGAAGAAAGATATTTAAGCTGCTTTTTAAAAAATAATTTAGTAGAATTACTGTCAAATTAAATTGCATGAAACATTTTTCTAATATAGCATGAGTGAGTTGTAACGTAATAACAATGTTGGCTGCAGGAAATGGGTGACAGTTTGGTTCACGTATGACTGCAGACATTTATATGGACAGAGCGCTGCCCCCACATCAGGTCTGTTGCATCTGCGTTATTGTTCCAGTGAGGCATCTGTCAGAACATTAACCTTTGAAAAGTCTTTTTTTCTTTCTATTTGCATGAAAGCCGAATTTTGTGGTAGTAACAAAAAACCCTGTTGATAGTAATTTGTTATGCCAGCTCAGTCTAAGTATCAACATCTGTGAGAACATTATAATGTGTAATTTGTGCCTTAAACCTGTTTTCTTGTAGTTGCTGTTCTCTCTGGATAGGGCTGCGTTCCACAATGTTGAGAGGAGTTGCTCACAGTGCAAAAGACATATTTACTCTTCTGTCGGCAAGATCTCAGTACTGTAACCTGGGGCTGAATTTTCCATCAGTATGGACTAAAGTAACAAACAGAAGCATTCTAATACATTCCACTTACACAACTGATACAAAATCAAGAGAGGAAAATAAAAAAACTATTGAGAGTCTCTACAGATTGTCAGTTGACATTAAGAAAATACGCAGACTAAAGGAATGGGTCCTTCTCCAGGATGCGGCCTATGTTAAAGAAATTGCTGATATCTTACAGGAAATGGGAGCAGATGAGACCACTGTAGCCAACATTTTAGAACGCTGCCCAGAGGCAATTCTCCATACCCCTGCAGAGATAAACTCTCAAAGAGCTCTATGGCAATTAGTATGCCAGAATGAAAAACAGCTGATTAAATTAATAGAGCGATTTCCAGAGTCTTTTTTTACTACTGAATATCATGAGAACCAGAAGGCAAATATACTGTTTTTTCAAAAGTTGGGACTTAAGAATAATATAATCACCAGGTTCTTGACAAGTGCACCCAATATTTTCTACAATCCTGTTGAGAAAAACAAAAACATGATAGAGACATTACAAAAAAATTATTTAAGTTTAGGAGGTTCTGATGCAAACATGAAGATCTGGATACTGAAGCTACTGAGCCAAAATCCATTTGTTTTATTAAATACTCCTACTGCAATCCAGGAGAACTTGGAATTTCTCCAGAAGAATTATTTCACTGACCATGAAGTTCTACAGCTGCTGTCCAAACTTAAAGGTTTCATTTTTCAACTTACTCCTACTACTATGCAGAAGAGTATGCTTTTTTCCAAAAATGTCTTTAAGTGCAGTGATGAAGAATTAAAACACCTAGTGCTGAAATGCCCAGCCCTTCTCTACTATTCTGTTCCAGTTTTGGAAGAAAGACTTGAAGGACTACTGAAGGAAGGAATTTCTGTAGCACAGATTAGAGAGACACCGATGGTGCTGGAGCTGACAACGCAAATTGTTCAGTACCGAATTAAAAAACTCTCTGCTTCGGGATATGATATAAAGAGTGGAACTCTAGAAAGCTTGAATGGTACTAAGAAAGATTTTGAAGTCAATTACGGTAAGATACAATCAAAGAAAGAGAGACCAATTTTTAATCCTGTTGCTCCTATAAACATTGAAGATTAATTTGAATGCTGTACTTCAAATTAAGCAAAATAAAACTAACAAAGAAAGAAGAGATCTTGGTTCTGAAACAAAAACTATTGTAACCAGATTGCAGTCTTATGCTGTACTTTGTCCTGGAGTGGGTCTTGGGCACAACTCCATTATACAATTAGAGCTTTCTAATGCTTTCAAATAATACAATGTCAACCTTTTATCATAAATAGATTCTTTTTTTTTTTTTTCCCCACAGAGAATACCTCACATTGGGTTTGGTTTTTTTTTTTTTTTGTTGTTGTTCTGTTACATTTCCTTATCTAACAGGGCATTAACCACTTTGGATTTTTAGCTCTGTCACTGTACAGTCCAGCTTGGGGTAGTGATTAGCAAAATCTTTATCTGAGAAAGAGAAAAGGAGGTTTATTTTTCCAGCAGTGTTCATCAGCCCACTGGTTCACTGACTTGTGGAGACTCTCTTGGAGTTCCATTCCTTATTGCTGAAATAAGTAGCTCTAGCTCCTGGCTCCCGACCTTGAACAGACTTGACTCTTGGATGGAAGTGCCTAACTAGACTGCAGTCTGAGAACAGAGGCAGAACATACGGGGTTTTATTTAGTGACTGATACAGTGAGGCCCTAGTACACTTGTGTGTGTATACAAACCATCAAGCTACAAGACAACCTCCTCTAAATTTCTGAGACTTCAAAATTTACTCTTGCAAAAGGTTTGGGGCAGGAGGAAATACATGTATTGCTATTGTCCAGTTCTCAATTTCTTCTTTTCCAGCAAGGCACGGGGAGATGAAAGATTAGGGAGAGACTCAAGTGAGTCTCAACTGAGTGTAGGGGAAAGGAGAAAGTCATGCTTTTGTACGAGGTGTAACAAAACTCTAGTCTGTAAACCAATGGTGATTAAAAATGACTACCAGATTTGCAAACAGCTGCCACAGTTTCTAAATATATGGGTGACACTGCTTCTCAGATACCACCGTATGGCAATTGTTGACAAGTAAATAAAAATAGTAACTATCTGACAGTGTTTAAGTTCTCAGGGGATTTTATTTATGGGCTGTGAATGATAATATGAAAGAGTAGCTTCATTGACGATCATCTTAACAGAACTAGGATCATCAGTGATTTTTACTTCTCAGGAAGACTTTCCTATGCAACTATTCCATACACATTCCCTCCTGACAGCAAGAGGAAAAAAACCAGTTATGCCCCCCCTTCACTCCAGGCCATTCTTCAAGGTGATTTTTAACAAGACATTTTGGCAGCAAGTCCCGGGTTCCTTTTCTTTAAGAGAAATTTTAAATTGCTGAGGAAATCTGGTATTGAATTACTTGTTTACAGGGTGGGCTGCAAGATGATGGTTTTTATATAGCCTACCACATTATCCGCTGCAAGCTTGGAAAGGGCTAGAAACATCTGGTTATAGCAGTGCCAAGATCTCAACAGCTGAAGGTCTTAAACTCATCACTATGCAGGCAAGTGCGGACGTGACAGCAGCTCATAGGGGTAAACACCACTCTTGTAGAAGCATGGGTGACAGTGGCGAGAATTCAAGAAGGGGCACATATCACCAGCACGATAGAAGTCACGCCGTTTTACTAGGCCTTTTCTATGCTGACTCTTCAAAACACAGGATTTTTTAAGAGGAAACTGAGAAGATAGCCATATTAAAAATTTACAGGTTGCCTTTGTCACTTTCTGACTGTCCCTCAGTGCTAAACTATTAAGCAGACCACAGTATTATTTCAATTCAAAAGCATCCTTCCCCTCAGGCACAAGGGGACATTTCAGCTCTCTGAAGCTATTCATAATACAGTGTCTAATGCTGAGCCACAGAACTGATGGGTGGATGGGGATAAAAAGGAAACCAAGATATAAAACAATGTTTTCCCTGAAAATGTCGTTTCAGCATTTCTACAGGTATCTGTTTTTCAAGTTCCTGAAACAGCTTGTTCCCATCACTTACAGTATTTCTAGTGGCAACAGACAAAACAGGAGTGACATATTCCCTTAATTTAGTCACAGCCCAAGTTATCACAAACTCCTTTTCCATTCTGAATGTTTCAATTTCTCCTCCTTCCCCCCCTTTCAAAACAAAGCATAAGCAGAAAGACTCCTTTTCGCTACTGGCAGACCAAAATTCATTCAATCTTTCATTCATAACTCTATACTGGGGACCTGTTTCTCTCTTCTTCACATGATTCATTTATAATAAAATGCAAATAACAAGATGTATTGCTGAAATCCACTCATCTCTTGCTGTTACTCACAGTGAATGTGAGCCAGTTTATACCATTTTAGTCTGGCACATAAAAGTCTGTAGACCAGTCTTCCATTACCTAGGGAGCAGTCAGACATAGAAGTAGTCTTCATAACCATTTCCCATTTTGAAATGGGGGCTGGGAAAAGGATAGCAAATGAAACCACCCCCAAAACACAAGAACAACCCCACTACCCCGGAGAATTTCAGTTCTGTATTCCATTCAGCTCACTATAATCTTAAAAGTGAGTATCCCCAAGCCTCAGTTCCCACAAAAAAAAAAAAAAGGGATTTTATGTTGTGTCTATGCACAGCCAATAACACGGAAGTTACAGTTTTTGTTAAAATCTCATTGGTGCTATTTAGATGCAGATAAAAGACACTGGGGCATGTTACAGTGGGAAGATTTATACCCAGGTATGCCTTTCTCCACAAACTAAGGAAGCTTTCAAATGTCTGAAACAGCAACAGTTTAATGCTTCACAAGTGTCAGGACAGAATCAGAACAGGTTTTTAAGACAAAGCAAGTTTCATAAGTGAATGGAAAATATGCAGGATATAGGACAAAGCTCTTTTCAAAAACTAAAACCATATGCCATGTTAAAGTGTTTCAGTTACAAGATTCAGAAGTAATGACAGGATATGTTAAGAACAAAACATAATGAAGTGTTGTCAGCTCTTTACAGATTTAAATTGCTTATCTCAGACCACGCTTGTTTTGCAGCAAGTTTCATAGTATAAAAATTACAGAATGTAATAAAAAAGGGATATGGCTAGTTCAACAGCTACGTTTTCAGAAAACGATTAGGAAGGGTGTTGAGTGTCACAAATATCACTATGGTCCAAACAGGTTACTCATAAGAGTTCCGTGGTAGCACTCTGGAGGTATGTCTACATTCAAAACTGCAAGGAAGCAGCAGACCATACTAAGTTAATTTGCTGCAGGTAGATTGCCTCCGATATCCAAGCTAGCTCATCTCTGTCACTAACTGGTATCCTGAAACTACACTCTATTCTATGCGATTAGCTTTTGACTACAAAACCAGTTAAAGCCTTCCATTTGTCACACAAACTTACCTTATTACACCCTTGCAGCGAATGGAGCTAAACAGCTGGTGCACCTAGCAAAAGGAGCAGATAATACCATTTGCTGGGTTTTTGCTCTCCCCACCGCCTCAAATCCTTATGCTTATGAATACCATACTATCAACATATACAACAATTACTGATACCAGATAAGTTGTTACAGACTGCAGCTGCAGTACCAATGGCTCAGAGAGACTAGGTGACAACTGTACCATAATTTACACATAGCACATAGTGTACTTTCAACACCCATGAATATAGGACCAAGCTTTAGACAAGTGATATGTTTTGATTTTTTTCATTTCTAAAAAGTCTCCCTATATACCCTTCTTGTACAGCCATAGCCACTGAAAAAGTAAGCTTACGTGCTTAGAAGTTCTCTGTAGGAACACAAGTTTCTAGAAAATGCTGCATACACAACACTCACAGCCTCCTTCTCTGGGCTTCCGAAGAAGTTACTTATTTGCAAAGTCAGTACACATAAAAACCCCCCAAGATTGCCAGCAGCTTCTATTCTAAGGCAACTTCAAGCTGTGTCTCACAAGCACATTTTGCCTCACACGCTGCAGAGGACCTGCAGATATTCCCATATGAGGTGTGTCAACGTTTGGAATGTCAGTATACAGTTCACTTGGATGATTTTTTTTTTTTTTAAGGCCCCATCTACCCCTTTTTGGTTTGTTTTAAATAAAAGTATTGCATTTTACTCAAAAATCAAAACGCAAAGTATGAGAGAAACATGTAGTGAAAAATTTCTTGCATTTGCTTAAGCAGAACAAGAAGCTAACCTGGTGCATCATGGAGTTGAGACAACAGCTTTGCTCATTCCTCAGTGGTTTCCAGCTACACAAGGGAATTTCTTTCCAAGTCAAGAGAGTTGTTCTAGATGACCACAAACATTAGCCCCGTTTCCATTAAGCCATCATTTTTTCTAGTGTCTGTAAGAAGTTTATTAGAAGCAAGTTTTCACTTGCAGGAGATAGATGCATATCATTAAATACACCTGAGATGGAGAAATCTTGTTTTCAGTAAAAATTGACAGGGTTTCAGATACTGGGATTTGTAAAGAGAATCTAAAGCCCATTTTGTGAACTGCACTGAAACAACAGGACAGTTTTTTACACAGCTTCACCTAGTAAAAATATATTTTTTCTAATAAGGCATTAAGTTAATTTACTCTTTATGATCCTTTCTACCATGTCATCAAACTTTCTCACTTTATCTCCCACTATCACTTCCAATTACTGCACACCTCCAGTTCTATTTGTGCCAGTCTGCACTGGCAGAATGCAGTCACCGATAGCTGACAGGCTGCCTGCAAATAACAGTTTCATAACCAAAACTGTTCGGGTAGGTCCAACAGTGCTGTTACACAGCTGAAGGATCCTTAGCAGGAGGATGTGGAAACCACTGAGAACAGTAAATGGCATCTCGTCATATTGATAGTACAATAGAGACTACCAAGTTTTTATGTTCACATTTTAGTCCAAAACTGGAAAAGACTTACAGTAAATGAATATTCAAATATGTATTATCCCTTCAGATACACTTACTCACTTCTATAGTTACCAAGTGTAACATTTCACCAGATACAAAGCTTCAATCTAGGCTCTATTAGATCTTCATACTCTGTGCTAGCCAAGCTTCTTCTGTCCTTTTCAGATGAA